CTCTCACGAGTGAAAAACTTTTGCAGCCACTAGGAATCGTCCCACACCTGCAACACGATGCGGTCCCACCAGTCTGTGCTTGTTTCCCGGGCCCAGAATCGGTGTTCCACGCCATGAACCTGCCCCAGTAACACCATGATTTGCACATTGCTGGGGCCTGTACTTTGTGAGAGGTCTATGTCCATGTCAATTTCCTCATCACTCTTGTTGCCGCGCTGCAATCGCCTCCTCACCTGGTTTTGCTTTGGCATGTTCTGGCTCTGCATATACTCCAGGACAATGTGCGTGGTGTTCATAGTGCTCATAATTGCCACGATGATCTGAGCGGGCTCCATGATCCCAGTGCTATGGCGTCTGGGCTGAAAAAAGGCGCGAAACTATTGTCGGAGGGTGGGAGGGGCAAGTGACGACATGGCTTACAGGAAATTAAAATCAACAAAGGTGGCTGTGCATCAGGGAGAAACACAAACAACTGTCACACAGAATGGCCCCCCCAAAGATTGAACTCAAAACCCTGGGTTTAGCAGGCCTTTAATTTCATGGACGGAGGGGGAAGCAAATGAATACAGAACAAATCTGGTCCATCTATTTTTTACATCTTAAGCTGGCAGCAGATGATGCAGCATGACTGATAGCCATCGGCATCTTCTGGGTGCTTGGCAGAAAATGCTGAATTACGACTGCTAACCATCATCGTCAAGACGGTTCAATAGCACTGCTGGCAGGACTGAGTCTCCAGGAGACAAAACATGTCTGCCCAGGTGCCTCTGATCGAACTCACTGAGGAATACGACAACAATGGATATTAGTCGTAATACACCATCCACTGCTAAAAGGCAACGAGCTGCTGCTGTATAGCAATGCAGCCCCACATCTGCCAGCACCCAGATAGCTGATGAAGGCTACCAGTCATACTGCACCGTCTACTGCCAAAAGGCAATTAGCTGCTGCTGTGTAGCAATGCAGTACCACGTCTGCCGGCACCCAGATGACATATGGTGACGGTGAGCTGAGCTGACCTGAGCGGGCTCTGTGCTTGCCGTGGTATGTTGTCTGCACAGATAACCCAGGTAAAAAGGCGCGATTCGATTGTCTGCCGTTGCTCTGACGGAGGGGAAGGGGCCTGACGACATGTACCTAGAATCCCCCGCGACACTGTTTTTGCATCATCAGGCATTGGGATCTCAACCCAGAATTCCAATGGGCGGCGGAGACTGCGGGAACTGTGGGATAGCTACTCACAGTGCAACGCTCCGGAAGTCTACACTAGCCTTGGTACTGTGGACGCGGTCCGCCGACTTAATGCACTTAGAGCATTTTGTGTGGGGACACACACAATTGACTGTATAAAACCGATTTCTATAAAACCGGCTTCTATAAATTCGACCTAATTTCGTAGTGTAGACATACCCTAAGCTGCTCTTTCAAATTAGGGTCCAGTCCTGTGATATTACATGAAAGCGCATGTACAATCTTAGTGTTTAGTACCTGTCCCCTCATTAAAAGGTTCTGCCTTCCATAAAAGATGGTAATTTTAACTATTTGTTTCAGAGCATGCTGATTGCAGTATGTAAACTTTTTCTTGTGCTCAAATGCAACAAATTCATCTGACTTTGCTATAGCAAGAACATGTTCTTTGGTTCTGCTATGCCTCCCAAGTATTTTCTTGCCATCTGACCAGTCTTTCAAGGGAATGGAAATCAAGACTGCTTCCTTGCTGTTTAAAGAACACTAACAGAACACTCCATCCAGATGTTTGGAGTAATGTGCAAATTTATACTCTTGTAAGAGCTGCACACTGCAACAACGATATTTCTGACTAGCCCCTGAGCCCATTAGTGTTTTAGGAAACTGAAATTTGAAGGTGGCAACTTCCGAGTTGCTAGGACGTCCTTCTTCTGATTCTCAGCCAAGTTTGCACAATTTAGATGGCCAATGTCATTATCCCTCTGAAAGCCCTGTAGAATGTCCTCACCTTTTTCAGTCTTTGGCTTGAGGTATGGCTGCTCTATAAAAAACTTTGTTTTACAATAGAAAGATTCAGTACTTCTCCATTGTGGCTTTCCTCAGCCTTCCTTCCACACGTAACTTCACAAATAGTACCTTGGTCCAGAGACCCTCCTGGAATTACAGAAAGGAAGGCAAACATCACTACTGATGCATTGTGAGCTACAGTGTTGGGAGTACCTTGGTCATCGTTATTCTTACCATTCACAGAGCTGAGCAAGTGTACAAACTTACTGGACTAGAAAGGAGGTTGTGATTTTGGGTAACTTCTGTTTCTACTCTGGATCTGGCTTGGAATCTTTTCTCTTTTAAGCACCAGACAGTTTCTCGGCAGGGCTGACTCCATGCTGAGCTAAGTGGTGAATGAAAGCAAAGACACTAATAAGATCAATTATCCTCTCGCATTGCAAAGGGAAAACCCCACAGAAGCCAACGGCATTTAAAACGCGCATTACCCGTGTGCAGCAAATGCATGGGCTGGTACAGGCTGTGCCGTACAGCATCACTACAGGGCATGCGCTGCACCAGCTCTGTGCGCACCCCGCTCTGCGAACTCCAGCGCAGGCCCGGCCGGACCCGCGCGCCCTCCGTTCCGCTCGGCGGCAGGGCGCGCGCACACAGCTTCCAGGCCGACGGCCTCTCACGCATGCGCATTACAGTAGGGGAGCGAGGGAGACACTCCCGAGACTACGCATGAGCATTGGTGAGGCCACAGTCTCACCCCTTCCCTGCCCGGCATGCTTGTCACGCATGCGTCCAAAGGATGAGGTAAAAATCTTGACCCGCCCACCGTGATCGTTTGGCACGCATGCCTATTGGGAGGAGGGGCAGAAACGATTCCCTTCGATACCCACCGGAACTGCCTGGCGCGCATGCGCACTTAGTAAGGCAACTCTCCCCCCTCCTTTCTTCCCCCCTCGCAGGAGCATGCGCATCTGGAACGCGAGCTTGCGCCCACCTTCTCCAGCGTGGGGGCATGCGCAGTAGGGGATCGGAAGCGGCGTCCGGGCGCAGCGGAAGCTGCTCGCTCCTTTCTGCTCGCGGGCGGCCATCATGGTGAGTGCGTGCGGCCGCGGCCTCCGCCACCAGCCCGGGAATCCCCCCCCCGCCAGCCCGGCGCGGCGGGAGCGAGCCCCGGCAGGGCGCTGAGCCGCCTCCTCCCGATGACCGGAGCGGGGCCGGGGCGCGGGGACCCCGGGCGGGAGCCCCCGGGGCAGGGCGGGGGCCACCCCGCTCCGGGAACGTGTTCTGCGGCGCGGGGCTCGGCCACGTCTCCACTGGTGCCTGCTGCCCCCTCCCCACCACCGAGGGGAGCCCAAAGCGCCGGTCCATTGGCGGGGCCCATCGCTTGGCTGGCGGGGCCGGTGGGCGGGTGAACCGCAGGGCCGGGCTGCCGTTGCCAGAGTTTTGCACAAAACCTCCCCCCCCCGAGCTGAAATGGGTCCGTCCTCTCCTCCTCCCCCCCCCCCGTAATATGGGGAGCGAGCGTGCGTCTCCCACGGCACCCCGTAGCGGCACCGTCAGCACTGAGCTTATAGCCAGATACCTCCCTCCCCCCCCGCACATGCAGTCGTGAGCTCTGAGGGGCATATTCCACCCCCGACCCTTCGTGTGGTGCCTGCCGCCGAGCTGGTCCTACCCCCGCCCAGACCAGTGCTTGCCTCCCATCCCTAGGGATAATACAGATTCCCTTCCTAGCCGGGCAGGGGAATGGGGCATGCAGTTTGCTTGGAATACCATTGACTCCTGACCGAAATGCAAGTGAAATTGTGGGTGACGTTTGGCTGTCCCCTGGTTTCCCTTCTCCTGTAGGGACCCCTCTCTCTTACCTGAGCCTACCTCTGACAAGAAGGATTTTCAAATGGGATGTACAATAGAAACACAAGACAAGAAGGAATAGCTGCAGATTCTGAAATCTAAACTGAAACTGGTCTGAAAGTACTCGATCTCCTATCCCAGGCCATGGGGCAAAACAGCCCCTGCAATTGAAGGTTTTGTAGATAGCAATTCCTGGTTTTGGTCATACTACTTTTATTCAGACTCTTAATTTCAGTAAAACATTTCTTCCAGGTGTTCAAACGTTATGTTGAGATTGGCCGAGTTGCCTATATCTCCTTTGGGCCACATGCTGGCAAGCTGGTGGCAATTGTGGATGTTATTGACCAGAACAGGGTAAGCTCAGAGATCTGTAGTCTTTTCCTTTCCCCAATTCTTTCATCCTCTATTTTAAAGGTATTTTTTTGTACAATATTAAAATACTTCAGTTTTCCATATATCAATTTTTCTAAGGGGCTTACAATGTTAAGGAAAATGGAATACAAATACTCATGTGCACTGCAGGCTTTACAATTAATCTTTATATGAAAAATCTTGTTTCCCCTCGCAGGATCAATAGTAAGGATAAAGAAGGAAGGTCCTCTAATGCAGGGGTAGGCAACCTATGGCAAGCTGATTTTCAGTGGCACTCACACTGCCTGGGTCCTGGC